TTCATTAATGTAGACATGATAATGAAAATTCATTTAATTAGTTTTAGACGATTCGAATTTTCAGTTCCATTTTTAGGAATAACAATGGGGGGTGGGGGGCAATGGGAATAATAATAGATTTTAAGTAATTTTAAGTGCCATTTTTTATGATCTTAATAATGTGTGCACTAGCGTCCATTATTATTTAATTATTTAGGAATCAGGTCAAAAGTCTTCCATCGTTTGCACGACATGAATGTATTAGAGAAGAATTCTCTGTGTTTTTCTACGATCTCAACAATTATTCTTTTCAATATAATAATCGCACAATCGCGATTTTTATGTGATCCAGAATGTTTGTAAAAATAGAACACACAGTAGAGATGGCGCAGAAGCACATCAATCGACCCTTCTCGTATATGGAACATCTTTTTTCATCTGTCTTGAACGATGAAACATTCATTTGTGCAAGTCATGTTACAGGCAACATTCGTTGAACGTTTTTAAGTGCAAATGTCGGTGGATAATAAAACGAAAACTCATTGCTTTATTAGAAATGTTGGAATGTGGAACGCTTATAATATGTTTCGTATATTAAAAAAAAATGTTGTATAGTAAGATCTGTGAATTTTTGTTATTCATTCATTTAAACTAACAATTTCAATGAATTTGATGTACAAAAATCTCCTAGTTGACAAAATTCATTTTACTCTTGTTTTTGGTTTCAACAATATTTATCAGATAGTGTCGGAGACACAGACAATATTTAGAAACTAATAACAATAATACATGATATTACGTATACGTGTAACATATATCCAGCATTTGCTAAATAAACTATTTGTTGTAAAGCAGTAATAAATAAATAAATAAATAAATTTAAAAGTCAATAATCTTGATAGTAGAAGCTTCGTTTGAAATAATTACTAGACCGCGGATTTTCTGCGTTTATGAGAAAACTGAGTAGATGTCATCTATAACAAGAGAACAACTTTTGATTGGAGAAAAGTATGATTCAGCGTCCATTAATTTGATTTTATGATTTATTGTGAAGATGTTAGCACATAATGAAACGCAACACAGGCGATTTTATACATTTATGATAAGAATTGCATTGCAACTCAAATACAAACTGTAAAGACATTCAATGAATATAAGGATATTGTTCTATAATTTTCAACTTATTCAAATTATACAAGTTTATAATTAAAATAATTAAAAAACAAATAATAATATTAATAAAATAATTAATTATTTCAAACTTTTAATTTGAATAAAGATCTGCTGTCCATTCTAAGAATATGTGTAACTTACAGCACGAGATGACGTGTTCGTCACCCTTTGACATATGTTGTCCGACTGTTGACCCCCTCTGTATGGGCCAGCAAGGTAATGAGGAGACGCGAATAGCAGACTTCCTATACCTAAGACTAGAACTCCTACGCCTATGTACCTGCGAAATAAATGTCAACTTAAGAAAAAGTAACATGACCTTCTTCTTTTGGATTCTTTGAGTGACACGGCCAACCATAAGATTTAACAAAGTTGAATCTTATTTCGTTGCATTCAAATTGAAAGTAAAGTGATTTATATTTTATACTTTCAGTTATTAATAATTACTGAAAATTTTACTTGAGAACTGATTGTAATATTTTAAAAATATAAAAAAATTTTACTATTAATAATTATAAAATCCTAATGACCTACTTAATTATTATCTTTAGTGCCTTAACTTACGCAGTTAGTTATTAATGTCAGTAATTTGTAAATTATAAACGCCATTTTTCAATATTTCTTTCAGAATTATTCATGATTTTCTATGCTTATATACGTAATTTCATGACATTAATTAGAGAAAATAATATGGCGACCTATTAAAAGTGAAACACAATGTACATTGCTTCACAATACTGTCAAGATTGAATTTATTCAGATTTCGTAAGACTTTTATTATATCAGGTTGATATTTTATATTTATTATATTATGTCGATATTAGGCTGTCATTTTTGTAAATGACAACGACAATATTGCACCATATTTCAGAGTACTAATTAGGTTAAAATATTCACTACTTTACGTAGTATCATCGTTCTACTGAAAAGTTGAACGAAAATTTTGTTGTATAATATAATATGAGCTCGAATAAAGGAAATGAAAAATTTTCTTACGTGAACATTCTCATAGTTTCACTAATTATAAAA